TGGGAACATTCCCACGCCCAACTTTGTCGCGGAGACATGGCGGGGAGGGTGCTCAGTCAAAGAAGTTGAGAGCGCGCTGGCTGGGCCCCCAGGCTGATCTGAGCACGTGCGATCTTGAAGATGATACAACAGTTTTGCCTTGGCAGATCCGTGGATGCCGCTGAAGGACTTCGCAGCCAAGATCGCGAACGTCGATGCGCGGCTGGATTTGTCTCGCAGATTTCGGTTACGGCCATGACGCTTCCAAGCAGGAGTACTTGATATGTCTCGTTGCACGCGGCCACCAGCGTCGACAGTTGCTCCGACGAGACCCCTCTCTCCTCGCGAGCCCCCTCAAGAAGCAAGCTAGGCATCTTGGGCCCCGCCTGCAGTTGAGCGCGACGGCCAGGGCTGAGATCTCCTGGAGGCGCAGCGCGGCTAGGTCTGGCTTCTTCTCCCCGGGCAGGGCCCGGAGTTTGGAGTGCCGAAAAAATGGAAACGTAGCCTCTTCATCGGGATTGTTCAGAACGCCTCATCGATTGGACTAGAGAGTGTCGTTGCCACGGAACCCGACGCGACTATCCTGGATGGGTGTCTGGCACGTCTTGGGCGCATTGCGACGCTGGGCATGGCGACCTCTTTGGATGGATCGCGCGCGACAGCGCCGTCAAACAAACAAGTACTAGCATATTCAAAATGGGTTCCCTCCTCGCTGGAGCCGTTGGTTCGCAGAGTTAAATTGAATCAAGCATGGGGCGCGCGCCCCGAGAAACGCGCACAGATTATGCGCGCTTGCTGGGTCGTCGCCCATCGAGTTCACGACGCCGACGCCGCGCGACGGCCGACCTGCGACCCGTTCTTCGCCTTGGACAAATCACGTAGCATCGGATCTAGATCGCCAGGCTTCTCCCGCACGAGTGCGCGAGAGATATCGCCAACGACTTTCGTTTGCTGAGAGATCCATAGGCCCCCGGGGATTTCCACAGGGTGGATATGACAGAACTTCGGATCCAGGCTTTCTCGGTCGGCATTCCTCCTCCTGGGCCCACTCCCCCTGCTGGGCCCCCCGGGGCACCCGGGGTACATGGCGAGGTTGAGTTGCCCTTCCAGCGCCCCGTGGACCTCGACGGGGGCCCTGCAAGAGCGCCTCTGGCACTCGTAAGAAGCCACTCGGACGCGCGCGACACTGTCGCAATCCACCGAGTCTTGCACCTGCACTTACGCCAAGCAATGCACGCAGACGCTGTTTACAACTTTCCGCTGCACAAGTTGCCGCGGCCCATCGTCCATTCCGCTCTCCACAGAAAGGAAGCTGCGTTACTTGCGGGCCCTGGTCTTTGAATCTGAGGGTGGGCCCATCTTCGTGCGAATGCCCGTGCTGCGAGTTCGCAAGCGCTGACGCGCTTTCGCTCTGTCGCCATCTCCGAGGCCATCTGCCTGTCCAGATTGCGCCCTTCATATCGACTTCTCGTATTGTTTCCATTGACGCACAAGGCTTCTACCATGGAACTAGAGGGTCTCCAGAGACCTGCCCGGCGCAAAAGTGCCAACCCACCCAGCGCCGATGGCGCCCAGCCCGACCAGAAAAAGTCCAATACTCAGGTGTCGGGCGGCCAGGGCGGGCGCGTTCCCTTCGACAAAAGCATCGCGGCCAGATGCAAGCTGACACTCGCCAACAGCCGGGGGCTGGCAGACCTCGAAGCTGCGCGCCACTTGAGGTGCGAGATGGACGCGAGCCAGGGCACGATCGCATCCGCGGCCGAGGCAGGAATGGCATACAACGAGACGAGAAAATAGATGAAGCGGCGCGGAGACGCTGGAGAACAGATGAACGACAAAGAACGGGCAGCTCCACACCCACCAGCACGCACGGCAGCGCGGGAGCACGGATCAACGAAGGCGGTGGCGGAGGAGGCAGATCAATCGAGTCGTGCACGGGCGGAGAAGCTCAAGAAGGACACGCGTACCTTCTGGGGCGAGAAGTTATCGAGCTTGGAGGCGTCCGCGATGGCTCGAGCGGTTTAGTACTATCGGGCCAGATTGCATCGCGAAGTGGAGGGCCAGAAGGACAGAGCAACCTTCCTGTTCAAGATGAATGTACATCGTGAGCTGGGCTCGACGATGAGCCCGATGATCGAGGCGTTGGCGGCAGTGGAGGAGGGCTCCTTCCTTTCGGGCTCGGCGCCGCGGGGCCCGCTGGAGAGAGATTTCCCGAACTATCTCGATCGGAAGCCTTCGGCGTGAGTGAGTACCCCTTAATTGAAGGTGTCGGTAGCAGCAGTGTAGACAGCAGTCGCGAGCTGCTTGCCAGTAGTTTCCTAATGATGGTTAGCAGTGCTCGTTTAGCATCGCTAGTGGCAGCAGGAGGTATATCCTATGAACAAGTAGCTCGGGCTGCAAGCAGGCCCACAGCCAGTCTTCCAGAAGGGCTCGCAGCAGTTAGCGTTCCTGAGATCCCTGTAGTTAATTTGCTTTCGAATCGTGGCAGAGGTGACCGGCACCCTGGGAGGGGGAGGCGTGGGGTGGGCTCTGGTGGGTGGGGGAGGGACATGGCCGTCGCGCCTGACCCACGGGCCCCCGCTGAGGGCTGCGCGCTGGCCGGGGTGCCCGTCGGCCAGTGCAATGTTTGCTGTGAGTCTTAGGGGGACTCGAAGCGTGAGACGTTTGGTTTCGAAGGAACCCTTTCAGAGTTCAGTCCCTCCTCCTCCTCCTCTTCCTCCTCCTCCTCCTCCTCTTCTTCCTCCTCCTCTTCCTCCTCGTCCTCCTCCTCCACCTCCTCCTCCTCCTCCTCCACCTCCTCCTCCTCCTCCTCCTCCTCCTCCTCTCCTCTTCACCGCTCCACTAGTGCGAGGCACGCGACCCCGCGGCAGTGGATGCGGACGTATTCTGGCGGCGCAGGAGGATGGAGGGATCGGGAAAGGGATGGGGGGGGGAGGCGAAGATAGGCGAAGGGGGGGGGGAAGGAGGGAGGGGAGGGAGGGACGGAGGAGGAGGGAGGAGAGGGGCCGACGAAGAGAAGCAGGAGTGGGAGGCACCGAGAGGAGGAAGAGGAGACGGACAGCAGCAACGTGGGATGGATGCGTGGGATGAGCTCTCTCTCTTTTGAGGGAGAGAGTGCCCGGAATGCCCGACGCTCGGGTAGCCAACGGCCACCGCCGCGCCTCGAGCAGACGCGCAGCCTGCGCCCTGGCGCCCCCCGCGGCTGCGTCGCGCCCCTCCCGGCGTCCACTCGGGTTTCGGGGCCTGCCGCCGGGAGCTGGGGCCTAACCCGCCGCGCGCTCCCGTCCCGGCCCGCCCCGAGCGCCAGCACGGCGCGCGCCCGCGGCGCCCCGCCCCGTCGCGGGCTCGAAGCGTCGACGCTCGGGGACGACGACGACGACGACGACGACGACGACGACGACGACGACGACGACGACGACGAGGACGACGACGACGACGACGACGACGACGACGACGACGACGACGACGACGACGACGACGACGACGAACAGCGCGTCGCGCCCCTCGCGGCGGCGCGCGCGCGTCCAGCGCGGGCGCGGCGGCGCCGCTGCGGCGGGCGTGGCGCGAGCGCGGCGCGAGCGCGGCGCGAGCGCGGCAGCGGCGCGAGCGCCGGCGCTGAGGCGCGAGCGCGAGCGCGGCGCGGCGCACGAGGCGCCCGCCGCCGCCGCGGGAGGCGGCGCGCGTCCGCCGCGGGAGGCGGCGCGACGCGCTAGTCGTCGTCGTCGTCGCCGCGAGATCCGGGCGCTGCAATGCTTCAAACCGGGCGGTGTCGCTCGGTGTCGGGCCGCACGGCCATCACGGATCGATCCGGCTCGAGACATGCCGCAGAGGGATGGGGTCCAGGGCTCCGCGCGCGGTTTTCTGCGATGCCGATTTTTTGTTCGCAGCCTCGGGTCTCAGGGGTTCTCTCTCTCTCTCTCTCTCTTCTTCCCCTCCTCCTCTTCCTCCTGCCCCTCCCCCTCCTGCTCCTCCTCCTCCCCCTCCTCCTCTCTTCCTCCTAATCCTCTTCCTCCTCCCCCTCATCTTCTCCTCCTCCTCATCCTCCTCTCCTCCTGCTCCTCCTCTTCTCTTTCTCTCTCTCTCTCTCTGTCTATCAATGTAGAGGTCCGCTCCTGGCCTGTCTTCTGCGTCTCCACCCCCCTCTCGCGCGGGTCACCTGCGCCAGTCCTGCCAGAGCAATCCAGGCTCTGGGCACGCTCGCGCGAGTTCCCCCATCCCTCCCCGCACGACGGACGACGGACGACGGCGGATGACCGCGGACGACGGCGACGGACGACGACGGCGACGACGGCGACGGCGGTGACGTCGGCGACGGGTGCCTCCGCAGCCAGAGTAGTGGCCATGTTGATTGGACAGCATGCTTCAGCTCACCGGCTTTGGTCGCGGGGTCATCTGAGGAGGAGGAGGAGGAGGAGGAGGAGGAGGAGAGGAGGAGGAGGAGGGGAAAGAGGAGGAGGGAGGGGGGAAGAAAAGAGGAGGAGGAGTAGGGAGGAGGGGGAGGAGGAGGAGGAGGAGGAGTGAGGGAGGAGGAGGAGGGGGATGGGAGGAGGAGGAGGAGGAGGAGGAGGGGGAGGGGGGGGGGGGAGGAGGAGGAGGAGGAGGAGGAGGAGGAGGAGGAGGAGGGGGAGGGGGGGATGAGGAGGAGGAGGACGAGGAGGAAGAGGAGGAGGAGGGATGACGTCGGCTGCGGCGGCGATGGACGACAACGGACGAGATACGTGCGACGACGGACGACGCACGACGGGCGGAGACCACCACGACATCGGGCGACATCGGATGACATCAGACGACGACGAAAACGACCGGTGACGAACGACGGACGGCGGCGACGACGCCGTCATCGTCGTTGTCGTCGTGGATCGTCGTTGTCGTCGGGGATCGTCGTTGGACTGTCGTCGGTCGTCGTCGTCGGTCGCTGGTCGTCGGTCGTCGCCGGTCGACGTCTGTCGTGGGTCCTTGGTCGGCGTCGTAGCCGTTGCCGCAGTCCTCGACGACGGGGATCGATGGAGGGCGCCGCGCAGGAGGCCAGGCAAGCCCCGTGGCGCTTCGCGGACGGCACGGCGTCGGCCCCAGGGCGCGCGCGCGTCAGGCGACGCCCGCGCTGGAAGGAGGGGGGGGGAGGAGGAGGAGGAGGAGGAGGAGGAGGAGGAGGAGGAGGAGGAGGAGGAGGAGGAGGAGGAGGAGGAGGAGGAGGAGGAGGAGGTAAGAAGGAGGGGGAGGAGGAGGAGGAGGAGGAGGCGGAGGAGGAGGAGGAGGAGGTAAAGGTAGAGGTAGAGGTCAAGCTAGCCAGCTCGAGCGAGTCAAGCATGGCATGCCCATTCCCGCCCGCCCTCCCACAACATAAGAAACAGTGATGGCACAACTGGGTGTTGCGCGGGCATTTCAGTGCGAGTGGAGGATACCCCAGGACACCGCATTGACGTCCGCGCGGGATGTGCGCCGCGTCCGATTCCCGCCACGAATTTCGCAACGTCGACGACAAGACTGGCCATGTTGAAAGGAACAACGGACACGTTCCGCCCTCCCACAACATAAGAAACAATGCTGGCGCAACTGGGTGCTGGCGCGTAGTGGTAGTAGTAGTAGTAGTAGTAGTAGTAGTAGTAGTAGTAGTAGTAGTAGTAGTAGTAGTAGTAGTAGTTAGTGGAGTAGTAGTAGTAGTAGTAGTAGTAGTAGTAGTAGTAGTAGTAGTAGTAGTAGTAGTAGTAGTAGTAGTAGTAGTAGTAGTAGTAGTAGTAGTGGTAG